TACGGCTGGTTCATCCTCAACGTGCCTGCTGTAGCTCCAGCTCGGGCGGGGGGTGAAATGAATCCTCTCGCGACTATGCGAATAAACCTGCTACTGGTTTAAAGTTGTTTGAAGGAACTCTCTGGCCCGTCGTGCCTCAATCGCAACTGGTGACTCGCCGTCGGTTGGGAGGGCTGCCAATCGTGAAGCGGCGGCCACAATGTTGTCCAACGGGTTGGAGTAATGCCCCAGGGGTGTCGGAACATATTGCGGCACAATGTTGTTTTGACGAGGCGGGTCCATCGCGCGCGGCTGAACCGGTGCCCCTGTTCCCGGCGCCTCCGTCCGGTTTAACACTGCCTGGTTACTGGTTTCTGCTCCCGGCGTGTTGAAGAGATTTCTTGGCTCATAACCCGGCGGGAGGTGCGACCGGTATCTTCTTCTCATGACTTCATCTGAGGCATTCTGATCTAGCCTAAGCCGGTAGGCCTAAGCTTCCAACTCGGCCCGTTCTGTAGCCATCCTAGCGTTCTCTGCCGCTAGGTCCGCTTTAGCCTGAATTATCTGATCTTTCACCTTTGCAATCTCCGCATTGTGCTTATCTCGGGCTGCTGCATCCACCTCTGCGGCCATCAATGTTGCCAAAGCATCGAATAAATCAGATAGAACTTGAGCTGGAGGCGGTGCAGAGCCCCCTACTCCCGCTGGCGTTGCTGTCGCTGAACCGGAGAGCATCGCCGCGGCGGTTGATGAGTGGTGCGCTGATTGTGTACCGGCCATGAAGATTGCGACCTGGTTTGGCAGATTGAGGGGGTCCAGAATACTGTTGCCATCGGTACCTCCGCTAATCTTGCCGTCCTGCAACTGATACAGTGATTCGGTCTCTCCAGTTGAAGACTCGTCATCAGAACAAACAACGGTTTCTCCATCAGATGCCGGCCCATCCTCATATTCCGCTCCATGGATGACACCTACGAAAACATGCCTTGCTGCGGGCTGAACCGGGGAAGGGCTTGCACGCTGAGCCGTTTCGATGATGTCGGTGCAGATATCCGGCTCAGGGCCCGGTTCGCCGATCTTGTCGATGAAGAGGTGAATCCCACCAAAGGGGACCCGGTACCCGTATTCGATTGAACCGGCCTCGGGACCCCATCTGGCGTCATCGATGTAGAGCTTGTCGCGACGACTCTTCGTCATCCGGCCCGCAGCGTATACCCTGAGTCCATCAAAGCTGCCCTTCAAGAACTCGAAACCATCATGCGACGGCCCCATGGTGGGCGCCAACTGTCATGGGTTTGTCACGGCAGATGTCCTCGTGAAAGGACTTAGTCGTGGAGCCAATGCTACGGGTTAGCTTAAAGGGGTTAGACCGGACAAGGGGACACGAGGGATTTTATACTAGTTCGGCCCCTTCGATGAAGGTAAAAGCCTACGTCTAGTTGTGATTGGTATTGCTAGGGTTTCGATGACTAGGGAGTGAATCCGCTTTGCCTAGTTCTCGGGTAGTTGTCTGTTGTCCCTAAACCGCGGCCGGGTCGTCCCTTTATATACATAGGTTGACGTTCGCCAGTTTACAGAGTCTCGAGGCTGAATCATAAACGTGTCTGGCTCGGTCTATATTCCTTTAACTTACAATACAAGTTGCATGAAAGAGTCAGTTTACATCTACAGGCCTTAACCCGCCTATGGGCCTTGGGCATTCGTAAAGCGCCACCATCATCATGTCTTCATGAGCTTCTATCTTCATGGAGCTAACCCGGCCACTCCTAGCCGGTTTACCTCCAGTAATCATATCCCCAACAGTCCACATATACTACCCATTTCATCGATAGCAATGCATATGTAGTGTAGATTCTTGACTGCGAGTACTTTGGATGAGTACTCACGGTTGCTTTGCTCCCCCTTTTCCCCCTTTCCTTTCTTCTCGGTTGTCGCAACCAGATGTTGGAGCCCAGGAGTCAGACGCCACCGCCGACGACGACTCATACTACACCGGAGGTGCCTACTACTACGTGCAGACCACCAATCACGACCAGGAGTAGTTTAGGACGATCCCAGGCAGGAGGCCTACGCCTCTTTGGATCTATATCCCAGTTTGTGCTAGCCATCTTATGGCAACTTGTTTAACTTATGTTTGTACTCAGATATTGTTGCTTCCGCTGACTCATCTATGATCGAGCACTTGTATTCGAGCCCTCGATGCCCCTGGCTTGTATCATGATGCTTGTATGACTTATTTTATTTTTAGAGTTGTGTTGTGATATCTTCCCATGAGTCCCTGATCTTGATCGTACACGTTTGCGTGTATGATTAGTGTACGATTGAATCGGGGGCGTCACATCCCCCCCCCCTTGCTTTCTCTCCTGAGGAGGGAAAGGCGGGAGGGGCCACCCCTCCCCTTTCCTTACCCTAGGGTCGACCAGCCATGTAGAGGGGAGCACCAGTCCCCTAGTTGGCCGGTCTATAATACATCACCTCGTAACTAACTCCTTAGTCATTTTCTTGCAAGCTTATGATGTGTATTACCAAGAGGGCCCAGAGATACCTCTCCAATACTCGGAGTGACAAATCCTAATCTTGATCTATGCCAACTCAACAAACACCTTAGGAGATACCAGTAGAGCATCTTTATGATCACCCAGTTACGTTGTGACGTTTGACAGCACACATATTATTCCTCCAATATCCGGGAGTTGCATAATCTCATAGTCGAATAAATATGTATTTGCCATCAAGAAAGCAATAGCAATAAACTGTACGATCAATATGCTAAGCTAACAGATGGGTCTTGTCCATCACATCATTCTCCTAATGATGTGATCCCGTTATCAAATGACAACGCATGTCTATTGTTAGGAAACCTTAACCATTTTTGATCAACGAGCTAGTCTAGTAGAGGCTCACTAGGGACACAGTATTTGTTTATATATCCACACATGTATTTAAGTTTTCGGTCAATACAATTCTAGCATGAATAATAAACCTTTGTCATGATTAAGGAAATATAATAATAACCATTTTATTATTGCCTCTAGGGCATATTTCCATCAGGAGCAATATAGGAAAAGGTAGAAAAATACACCATAACCAAGTGTGCCAGACTAGAAAAGAACTATGTTAAGATGCTCGTTGGATTGATAAGGTAATAGAGATGGAAAAGGAGACAACATCTTTAGTCAAGGGAAGCATCAATGGACGGGATACAGGTAAACCAGTGTTACCCTGCTCCTTCAGTAGTATGTTCTATTACGATTTTCGTGATATTGGCTCTTCTATCAATGCTATACCTTACACCATTTGCAGGAAAACACAAGATGATACCTATTCTAGTAAACTCCAACTGACCGAGATGACCAGTAAATTAGGGCGCGGGACATTCGGAACACACCATGCGGTGTTCTTCCCGGCGTTCATGTCATCCTTCGCACTTTGTCTACCCTATTAATCTTATTGTTATTAAACCTGAGAATGGTTATTAAAAAACCGGGTGAAATGGTTCGGTTCTTACTTTGGATTTGATTGGTTCAGGCTTTATTGGGCTGAATCCTTTTTAGTTAGGTTTTGGTTTGGGTATGTGAAGAAACCAATTTGGGTATAGTTGGTTATGGGCTTAAACAATTTGGTTATTAACGGCTATAAACTATGAGTCCAAACCGGTTTCTGGGCATTGATTATGTGCGATAAGCAAGGACGCATCGACAACGAGTGTCTTTGATCCGCGTACATGCTGCCATGCACTATGTAATTCTGTATTATGGGGAAACACCACATGCAAATCGAATGTGTTTGTTTGTGCTTTAGCTAAGCAATTGGTTTTAATACACTTGCCAGTGAGCTTTTCAGTCGTGGGCATTGTCTTTTTGACTCTTGCTGTGTGTTGACCGTATCTCAATGATAAATTTGTTCCCAAACTATTGTAGATGCACTTATGCCTTTTCTATGTCATTTGCTTCTTAACATGTCGATTTGTGCAATCATATATACATTGAAGCAAACCCATAGTTATGTATTGGGTTTAAACCCACGGTTATGTATATTAGGTTTAAATTGGTTTGGGTGGAAAAAATAGAGGGCCTGGTTTTGGTTGGGTTGAAAATGGCATTAAACGGATATAGTTCAAGTGTGGTTTTGAGAGATACATGTACGGGTATGGTTCAAGTATGGTTTAAGTATGAAACCATTCTCAGATTTAATTGCTATGGATATATCTGAAGATGACTTTTGTCCAATTATATTTCGGAGATCATTCTTAATACTGTAGGTGCAAAGATGGACTGCAAGAAGAAAGAAGTCTCTCTTCAATTTGGAGAGGAGACTTCTCTAAGTTCAGAAATCATCCTTACTATAATATAATAAAGACAAAAACACTGAGAAGAAAACTATAGTACAGTTCGGGGATATTCAAGTTGGCTCTTAGGTCTATATACTCCCGCTTATTACGACCGTTGGGCAGTGCAAAGATTCCCACGCGTTTGCATTCTCCTTTGTATTTCAGATTGTGTTAGTTTTAAGATTAACATGGCCCACTTATGTTCATCATTCAAAACATGATTTTATTTTTCAAAAATCGAAAAAATGAATGAACACCACCGTTGCATGGAAATTTTAGCAGATAAAGTTGAGAAAGAAAACATTTGTGCCTACTCATCTCATCTGGATTTGGTGGATAGAAGTTACCTACATTGAGCTAGCATCAGATTTTCCATACCTCGAAGACATGGATATGTGGACCACGGGAGCCGGGGGGAGATGCCACGTAGGATAGCGATCAGAGAACGCAGGGGACGCCACGTAGCACAGTCGAAGATACCACGATCCTACGTGGCCCAATGGCTCGTGCGCATGCGGATATTGCAGCCAATGGCCGGCGGCATTTGGATATCCCCATCCCGCTCCGTCTCCGGCCGCTCGTGCTCTTATTAGCAGCCTCAGATTCCCTTGTCCTCTCAGAGCGCACGCCTGTTCTTCTTCTTGTTGTTGTCTCACCGCAGCAAGGAGCAGCCAGCATCGAGGGAGCAACAATGGCGATGGCGTCGTCGAGCGGGCTGAGGAGCTGCAGCGCCGTGGGCGTGCCGAGCCTGCTGGCGCCTTCGTCCAGGTCCGGCCGCTCCGGGCTGCCGTTCTGCGCCTACGCCACCACCTCCGGCCGCGTCACCATGTCCGCCGAGTGGTTCCCCGGCCAGCCCCGCCCCGCCCACCTCGACGGCTCCTCGCCAGGGTGACTAAGCAGCTAGCTAGCTAGTAGCCGATCAAGCAGTGACCAAGCAATCGGCATCAATCTGACTGGCAATTTCTTCTCCGTGCAGAGACTTCGGGTTCGACCCCCTGGGCCTCGCCACCGTGCCGGAGAACTTCGAGCGGTTCAAGGAGTCCGAGATCTACCACTGCCGCTGGGCCATGCTCTGCGTGGTACGTCCTCCTCCTCCTCCTCTGCACCACAGCAGCCATCGTTGAGTTGTTCGCTGGTAGTAATAACATGGGTTGTGGCATGGACGACGTGCAGCCTGGGGTGCTGGTGCCGGAGGCGCTGGGACTGGGCAACTGGGTGAAGGCGCAGGAGTGGGCGGCGCTCCCCGACGGGCAGGCGACGTACCTGGGCAACCCGGTGCCGTGGGGCAACCTGCCGACCATCCTGGCGATCGAGTTCCTGGCCATCGCCTTCGCGGAGCAGCAGCGCACCATGGAGAAGGACCCGGAGAAGAAGAAGTACCCCGGCGGCGCCTTCGACCCGCTCGGCTTCTCCAAGGACCCCGCCAAGTTCGAGGAGCTCAAGCTCAAGGAGATCAAGAACGGTACGTCCCACTCCCACCATACACCCCGTTTTCTTTTTTTTGCGAATATCCATACACCCCGTTGTTGAATGAAAAATCATGGGAGAACGAACTGACGCGTTCGTACGTGGGGGGATGCATTGCAGGGCGGCTGGCGATGCTGGCGTTCGTGGGGTTCTGCGTGCAGCAGTCGGCGTACCCCGGCACCGGCCCGCTGGAGAACCTGGCCACGCACCTCGCGGACCCGTGGCACAACAACATCGGCGACATCGTCATCCCCAGAAATATCTACGGCCCTTGAGCGGAGCCGACCGGGCTGAGAGGAGATCGAGGAGCTGGAGCGCATGGTTTTCAACTTTTCATTCATGTTTCTGAATCGATAGATTGGTTGATTGCCTTGCCACGCTGGCTCTGCGCGCGTACGTCCGTGCGTGCAGGAACTGTACAACAACGTCGGCTCTCCGGCCGGCAACCTTTGTAATGTGTAAAGCTTAACTAGCGGCCACTGTTGTGAATGCATCCATATGATCTGTATAAACTCTTTGCATGATGATGGTGTGGAGGAAGTTGCCTCTGACAATCTCTGTTATTTGTACGGGACAGTTATCGCGTGATCAAGTTAACATTTCATTGAGCTTTTTAAAAAAAAAAATAGAAGCAGCACTATGTATTCATTGAACAAATTTGGTACACAAAATACATACGTAGACACCCTTACAGGAAAACAGAGAGACATAAGACCTTAAGATTTGCACAAAGGATCCCAAATCAAGAAATAATGTAACAGCACAATCAATGGAGATTCATGCGCCTTGCCTAACCATCGTCTCCAAACAGACTCCATCGCGGCCGTAGCTTTGCCGAAGAGAGATGGAAACTGCCACCACACCTGGATCAGAAAGAACACCGTCGCAAACAAATCTGATTTTTGAGCCGATGAAACGACCCGCCGCACCCGACGACAGAGCCGAGTCTTTGTGGCACGTCGGCCAAGGATGATCCTCATGTCCGCCTGATCCGGACGTCGTCGACTTCAACCAATGCGATCGGTGAAGATGGACGTCACACTGCTATCCGTACATCCCGCTTCAAATCCTCTGCACACTCTATTTATGGTTGTCGCCGTCACCGTCACCATGGGTGACGAGAAACACCAGCCGACACAACCTAAAATCGCCAGATCCGGAGCCTGACGAGAAGAAGAGGTTACCTGATTCCTAGCATCATCGATTGAAAGAATGTCGGGATAGGGATGAAACAGGGCCAATTTATTCTGATGCGGCATGCATAGATCCCGCCACCGCTGCAACGCCTCTGCGAAAACCGAAACCCAGACTAACTACTACTTATCGGAGAAGCAGCGTCGGGGTCCCCTCCCTCTCCCGTCGCCGGAGCGACTGCCGGAGAGGCAGAGAACCCACGGTCGCGCCGACGGAGATGCGGGCAGAATGGTCGCCGCCCAAATCGCCTTTCCAAGGAGAGAAAGAGGAACGTGGGGAGAAGGAGTTCGTTTGTAACATTTCATTGAACTTAGAGCGTCTCCAACGCGGTCCACCAAACGGGTGTCATCAAATGTCCACGGACACATCCGGACGTGTCCACTGACCGCCGGCCGGGCAGAGATAATCCGATCCTAGCCATCAAACAAGGCGGGCATCGATTTTATTCGTAGATTTTTAGACTAGTTTCACTCTAAAAACTGCTCTAAACATCCTACTATACTCCTCCTCGTTGGAGGTGAGGCCGATGACCCCCACGTCAAAGCCGCCGACATCGTCGTTGTTGGTTGCCCGCAACAACCAGCCGGAACCACTTTGTGGCTCGTTGGCTCCGACGCCTCGTCATCCTTAACCTTGAGCTTCTTGAAGAGTCATTCCCGCCGCATGTCATTGATGCAAAGTTGGCGGCTCACGCGGTCAATCATGTGCGGCGCTCTGCATGGATGCAAGCACCGCTCGGTTCTCGTCGACAACGTCCAAGTTTGTGAGGAGATTCGCCACGACTACAACATATGCAAGCTCCGCCTCCAGTTCAGCCACCATCTCACGGTGCTCCTCCAAAAGTGTCTGGTTGAGCTCCTTGTCCACGTGTTGTATGGTGAAGAGGTCATCTGATGTGCCTCTTCCTCCATATCCTCCTCTCCTGAGCCCGACTCCGGAGAGCTCGTAGGTTGGCTCGCCTCAATGTGGGCCTGGCGCAGACCTCCGTCACAATTTCAGCATGACACTCCAGTGTTGATATCTTTGTACCATGTGACTTTGTTATTGGCCATGGCTACGGTGCACGTCGGATGGGTACTAGGAGGGCTCAGACGGCTACGGAGGGGTGGGAGGATGGGCTCGGAGGTAGAGTTTTGGGGGGTGGTCGTCCAACTTTAAATAGCCGGAGCAGGCAAAGGTCAATGCGGGCAATCGGAGTAGCCTTCTCGGGCGGTGCGTTGGCATGAATGCGAGTAGGAGAACGGTTGGTGAAGCTGGTGTAAATGTGGAGGGCTCTAGAGAGGAAGAGAGTTTTTAGGGTGGGTTTAGGGTGTCGGAGTACA